TATATAAATCACCTAATTTTTAATGCTGTGTATTCTCTGAAATAATTCACTATATGCATAACCCTCGAGGCAGAGCTCCTATCCCAAGAGAGTGGTGAGAAAACACCCAGAGACGCAATACAAAGCTGGCACAAAGGAGTGGAAAGTTTTCCAGAGTTGCCGCATCCCTGAAGGAAACCGTTTGGGTCCAAAAAGAGGTCCCTGAGACCCCAAAGCAGCCATTACGTATAAACAACGCTGATCAAAAAACGAAGGAAATATTGAGAAAATTGCAATCAGGAGAAGCACGTGCTACGTTGGAAAGCACTCCCAAAGTACTCTAACAACCAGCCTTCCCCAGCAAGAAGCAGCCTCCAAATCTGCGTGACTACAACTCCCATTTATCCCCAGTTAGCATCCTAAAGTACTCCATTGCCATGATTTGGGGAGGCAGGAATGAAAGGGTTGGTATAGAAATCTCTTTGTAGGCTGCAAACTAGTGGTGGCCGCTGCTGGCTCCCATGTCAGTGGGGTGCTGAATCCAGTCCACACTTTCCATAGCTTTAAAGGAGTTTTCAAAGGCGCTGAACCTCCTTGGGGACGAATGGACCTTGGACAGCTCCATTGCAGGCTGGGTTCAAAGCTGGAATGGCTTAATAGTCCCACTGAGACGAGAGCCATGACTCCTGCAAACATACGATCCCAATTCAAACATATCACTATCACTACAAGGGGCCCTTGGTATCCGCTGGAGTTTGGTTCCAGGACCCCTCGTGGATACCAAAATCCATGGATGCTCAAATCCTATTGTATACAATGGCACAGTAAAATGGTATCCCTTATATAAAATGGGGAAAAATCAAGAAAACATATAGCAAATCCAACCCAGCTATCCCTGGATGTTTTCTGGATCTTAAGATACCGCATTATAGCTGCATTATAGAATCCTAAGGAGTGTGCAATGGACTGGGACCTTCCCATTTGAGGTTCCAACCTCCAACAAAAGTAAAACATTTTTATAGTTTTTTGTGGGTTTTTCGGGCTGCGTGGCCATGTTCTAGAAGAGTTTCTTTCTGACGTTTCGCCAGCATCTGTGGCTGGCATCTTCAGAGAATGCTGGAATGGAAGAGAGTGGGTATATATATATACTGTGAAATCCTGGGTAGGGACGAGTGATTCCCATGTTAACTGTGTACTGTATACCCAGGGTCTCACAGTATATATAGATATATACCCACGCTCTTCCATTCCAGCATTCTCTGAAGAGGCCAGCCACAGATGCTGGTGAAACTTCAGAAAGAAACTCTTCTAGAACATGGCCACACAGCCCGAAAATCCCACAAAAAACTATGGATGCTGGCCATGAAAGCCTACGACTTCACATTAAACCATTTTTTCTTCTTCTTAAATTTGGGCTGGATCGGCATGTTTTGCCTGCACACCACCGAATGTTTTCCTGGTGCAAAAGCATAAAGACTTCTTGAGAAATGCAGTGTCCTCTGCCTACAAAAGGGGCCTGTGGCCTCGCAAAAGATGGAGATATATTGGATTGCAAAGGAAGTGTCTTTGTTGAGATGCAAATGGATGTTAAATTCCCTGGACTTTGAGAATCTCCCAGTATCCCCATGGCCAGAAGGAAGAGGTGCCAGCCTGCAAGATATGCCCCTCCATTGACCATCTGAACAAAGAAGAGACATAGCAAAATACTGGACGATTTCTGCAGTATGTTTTGCACCTAGCCTGGCCCCATCCCTGCTTTTCTTTCATCAGCAGGCAAAAACAACTTCTTTTCCCCCAAGCATGCTTTTAATACGCAATTACATCCAGGAAGGCTTCTTATTGGGGTGTTTGCTTTGTTATGTTTTTAAATGGTTTTATATTTTAACTTCGTGTTTTTAAGGATTTTTCACTTTTGACTTCCCGCATTAAGGTGGTATTTTAAAACTATACTGCTTTATTGTTGTAGAGAGAGCTGGCGTGAAGGTTTGAGACTTCGACTATGACTCTGGAGATCCTGAGTCTGATTCCCAGCTCGGCTATGAAACCCACTGGGTGACCTTTGGCAAGTCACACTCTCTCAGCCTCACGGGACGGCAATGGCAAACCTTCTCTGAACAAATCTTGACTCATGATAGTGTTGCTGTTGTCGGAAATGACTTGAAGGCACACAACAGCAACAACTATGTGTATGTCTAACTCCACATCTTTTAGCTTTGTAAATGGCTTGAACCCCAAAACTGGGAAACAGATGGGATATACTATTACTACTACTTTGTTATTGCTATTAGGGTTGCCATAAGTCAAAAAGGACTTGGAGGCACACAGCAACATATAGAGTATGGAATTTGTTGTTAATATATTTTGGGGTTTTGTTGTTGTTGTTGTTATTTCTAAGCATCTTTTGTGAGCGGCCTTGGGTCCAATTTTGGAGAAAAGGAGCATATAAATAAGATTAATTAATTAATCTGCCCACTCTTTTGCATCCTTCGTCACCATGTACACCAAGAGTAAACAGACATCTGCCATCCTGTAGATCAGCGATTCCCAAACTTTGGTCTTCCAGATGTTTTGGACTTCAGCTCCCAGAATTCCTGACTGCTGGCCAAGCTGGCTGGGGCCTCTGGGAGTTGAAGTTCAAAACATTTGGAGGACTAAAGTTTGGGAATCACTGCTGTAGATGATGAGCGTGTAACTATGGCACTGCCCTGGCATTTCGACATCCTGATGATGCACTTGGCCATCACACTGGAGGCATTATCACAGCTGAGAGAAGGATTTCTCTAATGGGATTGCAGGGAGAACCATCTCTACCTTCCCTGACCTCAATGTCACTTGATGCGTCCGAGCCATCCATAATTATCGGCTGAGAAAAAAAGTACTATAGCCATTGGTCACATCCTACAAATCGCCCTCAAGCCGCACGTAAGCGTAGCGTACCATCCGACATGTGGGATGTACATGGCTGAGTCTATCTAGGACAGGAGCCCTTATTTCTATATATATAATATTTTTAATAACCAACAAAATGTACAAACATATGCGTAGATATTTCCCACATCTAAAAGACATGCAAGGAAACATACGAAATAGAACACAAGACTAACTAACAATAAACAAGACTAACTAAAAGCTAACATAAACTAACACAGAAACATAAAAACTCAACAGAAATCAAACAGGGGAAAAAAGGGCTTCCTGCATACCTGACTATGGTTCTTTTACATTTCCTATCTAATGTAAGTACGTTCTAGTTTATTAACAGATTAATGTGGTGTTTTTGTTTTAAATTTTAAAAAAAACTCATTACATTGATCAAACTAATAATAAAAAGCCTTACCAAGGAGCTAGTAAAAACTGAATACATTTTCAAAACAAATCCCCTACTCTGTATGTTGCTGTGTGCCTCCAAGTCATTTTTGATGTATGGCAACCCTAAGGTGAACCCA